CCCCAACACACACACACACCAAAACCATCTATTAAAGCATCCAATATACCTTGTTGAGTTAAAGATTGGCCGAGTCCCTCTCTGGAATTACTTCTTAGGTCAATTGGTAAAGAAATATCTCAGATATCTTAAGTTTTTAAAACAGGCGAAAAGGGTGTTAGAAATTAGAGTGTCCCACACGTTGATTGAAGGAACATGCTATTGTCTCCTTACATGTCTTGGGCAATCCTCACCTCGTGGGTTAGCTTTTGCGGTTGACTTAGGCTTAAGGTCCATCCTTTTAACATGGTATCAGACCTAACCAATTCCTTTTCTTGATTTACCTGATATTGGACCTCCATATTATATATCCACATTCCAGATGTCTAATCCTAGGCATGCGAGGAGATATTAGATATTAAAATGTCTCATAGTGGTTGTTGTCTCCTTGTATAGTCTTGGGTAGTTTTAAGATTGAATTAAGCCTAAGGTCTATTTTCTTAACAGAGGGAAATATCTAACAGAACAGTAAACAGACAATTGCAATGTGGAAGTTTATAAATATGCACTGAAATGCTCGCACGTCTTCTCTTTAAGCTCCTTCTTTTTTCTAGTCCCTTTTTCCCTTTTTAACTTCTTGTTTCTCTTTTATTTTACATTCTTAACTCTAACCAACAATTAGAAAAAAACTTTATCAGGGTTGAAATTGGTCTATTCCAAGACAAATAAGATATTTGATCTACAGTTTGGAACTAAAAGTGTGCATGTTATGGAATCAAACATATGTAACTAGTTCAGTATTACTTCGAGAAGCTTGGAGTAGAATAAAAGAGTTTGGAGGACAAAGTAATGACCTCAAGGAGCTTCAATGACCTACTCTTTTAAATTGTACTTGACATTTTGCAAATACTGTTGTTCCTACCATGTTTATCTTGGCAGCATCTGATTTAGTTATACAATTTCTAAAGATGTTCAGGATGGATTACGTGTGCGCTTGGTCAATCTTCCTAAGAAAATGAACATTGATAAAGATCTACGAGTGGCTTTCAAAGGAGTTCCTGGAATAGCTAACATAGTCCCTGTTGTGACGGGGAACAAGAAGACCAGGAATCCTATTTGCAAAGGCCTCGCTTATATTGACTTCAAGTCCAAAGATGAAGCACAAAGGTAATGCTTTAGAAATGGATTGTATACCTCGATTCTCTCTTGGTCCTGCTCTGACATTGTGTTGTTTGTGGCTATACGGAAGTAACAAAGGATGAAGCTTGTAACATAACGAATTAATTAGTATCACAACACCACGTACACTGATGGTTTTGAGCTTCTTCTTTTTTTTGGGTTTCTAACCATAGTTCACGTATATGATTAAAAACTTGTGTGACTTTGTATGTGTATTAGGTAATTACTTTACAATACCAGTTTGATATTTGTTTGAAATTTAGGTCAGTTGCCTATTTAAATTTTAATCTTGCATTCTTTGCGTAAACCAAAAAATTATTTGTCATTGTAGGTTTGTGAAAATGTTTTCTGGACAAAGTATAAGTTTTGGTAAGATTGAGAAGAAAATAAAGTGTGAGATGATAAATCTCGGATCACCCAAGTCCGCAGCTATAAAGTCAGTTGATGAAATTAAGTATGCTCCTGAACAAGAAATACCTGATCTGCAAGGAGACCTGGATGATGATTTTGATGCAGATTTCCTTTCCTCGGATTCAGAGGAAAACCTTCCCACTGACCATGATGTTGTAGAGATGGAGGATTTATCAGCACGTACAAATGATTATACAGAAAATTCAGAAATTTTCTCTGCAGAGTCCTCTTCAGGTGATGAACAAGATGTTAGAGAAGAGTCTGATTTCTCAGAACAAGAGAAGAAAGTCCAAGCAAAAGAGGAGAAGAAAAAGCCTAAGCAAAAGAAAGAGAAGGTCCCAAAATTGAATATACCAGGATCTGCGCGCAAGTAAGCTATAAGCTCATGAGTAAACATACATTTGCGCCTATGTTTAGCATCATTTCTTTAGCCTTACTTACCAACTGTTGCAATGTCGTGCAGGTTGAAAATCAAGGAGAAAGCTCTACTTACTGGTGTTATATCCAAATATGCACAAAAAAATACTGTTGTGACTGTGAACGAACAAAGCTAACAATGGCCAGCGTTCACATTTCTGTTGTGTTGGTAGCGGGGTTTATTGCTGTTTGGTACACTATCTCATTTTTATTAGATAGTTTACTATCGTGAGTCGCTAAATTAGTTTACTATCTCATTTTTATTAGTTACCGTTGTCAAGTATGCTTTATTTCGCTATTCTTTTAACTCATCTGGTTAATCCATTGTGTCCCAGTTTCTTCTTCCCATAAGACATTGTGTCCCAATAAACTCAATTTTTTTGCAGTTGCTTAACAAGTAACGTAATTTAACATCAACTGCAACTGCAAAAGATTTTGAAATCAATTCATATGTCGTGCATTTAACATCTAATAACTTTTGCATCAACCAAGAAAATCTCAAAATTTCATCAGTATACCAGTCAACACATGAGGGTTCAATCTATCTAGTGTCGGTCCAATTGACCTACAACTTCAATATACACGAGGGCACAATGTTTATTACTCCAGAACAATCAAAAGATGCAGTCCCCCCAGCTGGAGTTTAATTTGCAATAGACCAGATTCAACAATAAGGCAACTATTAACATGTCTTATATCAAAGACAGGTGATGTTTTTTTATCAAACGTATGAAGGGGGAGGAAAGATTACAACAGGCAATCACAATGACTTTGGTCCACCCAGCTACCCAAGTTACGTAAAAGACATATTTTGAAGTTTTTCCCGGCCTTATAAAGGCACACTTTTGACTCCTAAAAATTCTTTGCCGGAAGAAAATGCTAGAAGTCCTAGATGATGGTTTGGACTTTGGAGAATCCAAATACCTAATCCACGCTCTCTTCCCTCGGTAAAGAGGAATTTCAAATCTTAATCGTATCATTTGACTAAACAAAATAAGTATTTAGACCTTAGAGGCAACGGCTGAGAAAGCGGAAGACCAGAAATGAAGTCAATCAGCCAAAAGAAGGTGTTCTTTGAGTTCAAAGCGAGGAGCTAAAGAGACTAGACTGCAATTGCTAAGCAACAACTTTACTTTAAAGAGGGGCAAAAGAAAAGTAAGGAGAAGAGAAAAGGGGAGCTTAACATACATAAATTCTATAGATTCTATAGCCTATCAGACTACACAAGATATTCTACATGTGGTAACAAAAGAGTCACTAGTTAAATGCTTCAAGACAAAGACGAGCTGACTAAGGATCAAAAGGAATGAGAGCAGAATGAGCCTAACCATGTACCTTCAACTCGAAAGGCTCCAGGTACCATTCATTCAGCAGTAACCAAATTGACTTAGGTTTAGTTAACACACTTCAATGACGTTTCAGAAAAAGAGATAGTGCTCCCTTAAAACCCTGTTAATATTCCCTTTTTCTTTCTGAGAAATCAAAGAGATCTGAGAATAGGGATTAAGAGCAGTGAGATCAAAGCACAGCATTACAAGTTGTTGGCTAGATGCATTGGCCATTCAAGAAGTAGGAAGTCATGGAAGGTATTATGCCACCACCAGAACATAGTTTGAGTGGGCATGACAGCTACTAAATGGTAAAAGATCAAAATATTTCTGGATGATATCCAATTACAGGGGAAGACTACACAAGGTGGAGAATGAGGGATCTTAGCAAAATGAGAGTGTCCGCAAGTTTCGGACTAATTGAACGAGATACATCTAAACTATGCTGGATTATAAATGGATTCAGAAAGTAATCTGCCGGAAGTTATTCATACAAAAAGATCAGAAGAACATGGAATGGAAAGACCTGAAAGCATTATGGAAACTCCAGGCCGTGACCCTCACGCAAAACAAGTTCTATAAGAAATATGATGTTTGCTATTGAGCTTGAGTACTAGAATAGATCGACAGAGGTGTAACAACAAGGTTTAAGTACATCACGAATTGATAAAATGGGTTACAAGGAAGCCAAGTGTAACTAGTATCAGGTTCCTAAAAGAATTAATATGGAACTTCTTCATTGATATGAACTTAAAAAGGAAGCCAGTTCAAATCAAGAGAATTTACGCAAACAGAGGAAGAAGCATTTCGGACGAAGTCTTTGTCTCTGTTATAAAAAGGCTCAACAATGAAGGAAGTTAACATGTCAGCAAAACAATAGACTATGAATGTATTGGTCAAAATAGCTCAACAGTTCTAACATTTTAGAAACCAGTTTACTCTGATGTCTATCCATCTGATGTTTCCCATTCTCCATGGATGAGCATATACACCAACAACAACAACAACATACCCAGTGTAATCCCACAAGTGGAGTCTGGGGAGAGTAGAGTGTACGCATCCTTACCCCTACCTTGTGCAGGTTGAGAGGTTGTTTCCGGTAGAGATGAGCACATACAGCATCTTCTTCAATTTCACAAGACAAAGGACCAAGAAAACAGAACTTCAACACCACAAAAAAAATAATTCTTTTTTCCATTTCCATCACATTTATCCCATTCATTCTAACTGAGAATATATTCTCCACCCTTCTATCAAATGATTGGTCAAAGAAATAGCTCAACAGTTCTAACATTTTAGAAACCACTTCACTTCAGAATCTCATTTTATAGTAATTTTGGAAAGAAATGGACCTTCAATAGAGTGGAACGGATCAAAGGATTCATAAAGTTGACTCCACCTAATTTGGAGTCGACACTTATAAAGTGTCCACGATTGCACATGAAAACAAATGCCTTAGTTATTCATCCATAAAACTTGAGAGATTTTAATTACTCATAAGATCCTACAGCAAATTGCTAATAACCACATTGCTGAATGCAGCTCCTCTAGCAACACTTTTCTACCATGCATTCAAAGATCCAAAATTGAAACTCCATTTCATAATCCATATCTATCAAAAGCTAAAAATACCTCAACACTTACTCCTCTTGCAACAGTATCACATATCCATCTCATTAAAAGAGTGATAAACTAAACTATTCAGCAAATTCCTAAAAGAGACAAATTGATCAGAAAAACAAAGAGAACAGCAAAAAAAACTAGCATTTTCAACAAATATAAGTTGGGATCTTAATGCCAAATAAACAACATACTCATAACAAAAGCAAAAAAACAACAGTATTCTACTATGCATTCATGGGATCCAAGATTGCATACATTTCATTAACCAAATCTATCAAAAGCCAAAAATAGCCAAATCAACTTAAGCATACTCCTCTTCTACCACAGTATAAGATGTGTAGCTCTTTAAACTTTAGAGTCACAAACTAAAACCATTACTGATTATCAAAACAAAGAAAAAGGCTTAAACTTTCAGCGAAGATAAGCTGGGATCTTGATACGGATAAAGAGCATACTCATAACATAAGCCATGACAACAAACACAACCCCAGCTGAAGCAAACGAAACCTTAACACTCTTATCTCTGTTCTTATCAGTTGCCAAATCCAACATCACAATCCCAACACCACCAAGTACAAACATGAACCCAGACGACAATCCTTCAATAATATACTGACCATTAACTCGACCGGGTAAAAAAACCACCGGTTTAACAGCACCAGTGAACCGGTCTTGTGTTGATCCAATTCCAGGGGGTTCAACAATGACGTCGTAAACGATGCCGGAGACGACCATGAAGTAGGTTAAAAGGATCAGGCCATAAACTGCCATGGCGGAGGGAAGGGTGACGGTTGGGATTTTTAGGCGGAGCTTTGGCGGGCGGAGGAAGGAGAATGGGAGGATACGAAGGATGTGGAAAAGTGGGTCGATTGAATAGTCATTGGATGGATCGGAAAATTGGGTTCCCGCGGTGGTTGGTGAGGAGTGGGTTTCGGATTTTGGTGCCATTCTTGATTACCCGGCGGCAGTTGACGGTGGAGGAGGGTGGTCGTGGCCCGTGGGTCAAAAGATGGAGCAGATTTGCTGTTTTGGTTACGTCGATGTATATATATTTGGAAGAAAAACAAAAGAAACAAATTAGTAAATAAACACCTCCTAATATAACTCAATTGTGAATAAATATTTTGTATTTTAAATTAAATACTTACATTCCTCGTGAAAATACTGAACAAATATATTATTGGAGATTTTTCTAATTTTTCTTTTGGTGTCATTCAGTTCATTTGATTAGAAAATAGTGCAAGTCATTAGTCACGATTTTACTTTAAAGAAAACATATTATTAATGAACACATGCATTAATTATGGTAAAAACAGAAAAAGATTTTTAAAAAAGGAGGACGGGGTTTGAATTATGCTCTTGAAGATGAATTGATAAATAATGATATGAGAACCGAAGAAAAGAGAAGTTTATTGACTAAATAAAATATAGAAGAGTGTATGGGGTAAAATATGTTCATATTTAATTTTAGCATGAGAGAATAACATGTGGAGTCGATACTCGTAAAGGTGAGATAAATGTTTGTCACCCGCTAAGAAAAATATTCTACAGCATTAAGTAGTGATCAGTTACAGAGAATATGGTATTAACTGTTTGCCGTTACACATTATTCAATGGTCCTCATAATTGTCATTAAAGAGGGGTTTGATATTGTTCCCTAGGTGCAACTATAAATAGTGAGCTCTATTATCATTGTAAGGACACGAATTTTCTGAGGAGCATACATTGTATTCTATCAAAAGCTCAATAACATCTTACTTTCTTGCGTATTTATATTATTTTTACTGTCTCCGGAAGCTCTGTACCGAGACTAAGATATCTGTCGTTTTATTTAAATTTCAAGGGTAAGTCTTACATTTTTGTCCAATTCATCTAGTATTATTTTTAGATCAAATCGATTCACTTGTTTATAAACCACATATAAATTCAACTGTACCGTTACCGATAAACAAAGAGACTATTTCTTTAGCAAACAATAAAAACAAACCTCATGAAAAACAAGTTAGAATTAAAAATAATATCATTAAAGGATGACGTGAAACAAGGAGCTACAAAGCATTTTCATATGATAAACTTAAAAGGGTAATTTTAAGGATACGTGGTATAACTTGGCACAAATCGAAAAGTGAGCAGAAATATATTGAGTATTGACTAAAGAATAAAAATACAAACCAAATTGAATAGAAAGTTATTTAAGCAAGATGAATCAATCTATCGGCTCACAAGAGGATATTCTCTATATATGTATCAGTATGTTTTTCTCTATCAATAATATGAGAGTGTATATGCCTTGATGTTTTTTTCCTTACATAAATAGTATATTTCCCTCTTATAGTGGAAAAATCTTACTTTAGATATAATTAAAAATACACAGTGGGAATCCCATGATAGAA